CCTTTGAAATTTTCATTTTGTAAATCTGTTGCTGGTAAATAGAATAAAATTGGCGTCTGTATGTTAATATTTTATCCTGTGAACAGCTACCTAAACTTCTATTGATTCTACCAATTTCTCTGTAAATACCTATAGAATTCAGTGTTCAAAATCGTATCTTCCGCAAACAATGCCAGTCTTGCTTCTTCTTTCCGAGCACTTTGTTCCTTCTGTTCCCACCTACTATATTTTCTGGGTGATAGTGGACATTCTTACTTGATGCAGCTCTCACAAGGAAGCTTTCAGTAATTCCAAGAATGATATTTGCTGTAGGCCTTGTGTGCTGTAGCAATCTGGATCCAATCAGGAGATGGAAAGTACACAGTGGTCAGGGGAAATTTAACATAATGTTTAAACATAAAGAATGATTAAATATGGCACATGTAGAATATATAGGATTTAGGAAAACTGTATGGTATCCTGCATACCCAAAGGAAGCATACCCAAAGGAAGACAAACTTGGAATGGGGGGTTCCTCCCCAAGCCTGGAGATCACACCTCATTGGAGAAGGTGTAGGAGGCTCTTCTGAAGGCAGAGAAGTTTGCTAATTTACCAGCGCCAGAGCCAGTGTGCAGAACCAGAGCTGGTCTACAGTTGAAGGGTAAGCAGGAAGGTACCCGCTGGAGCACATCAGTGTGGAAAGGGCCACAGCTGGTGGCCAGCATGTGGATGTGTAGTAGGAACAGGGGACCTGGTGGAGTTGGAGGCCTGGAGCTGGCAATGTCCTATATGTAGGATCAGGTGGGCCTCGAGGTTTGTGAGAGCTGCAGCCTTGGGATAAGTGCAGGAGATAAACCTAGTGGTGGGGGAATGAGTGCAATTAAGTAGGGGGAATCTGCGGGTAGGTGGCTTGGAGCACAAGATGTCCATGTGAAGAGGGCCACAGAAAGCCAATGACCAGACCACACTGGTTCTGTGCAGTCAACGAGGACAGTTGTTCTGGGGCACCTGCTTGGAGCAGAACACCTAGGCTATCGTTACACTCACACTTCTGACAGCCAGAAGTCACAGGAGAGCTACTTCCTCCTTCAATGTCCATCCAGTGTCTTCTAACTGAGAAAATGGAACATCATCATCACTCTGAAGGAGAGATTCTTAAGGTAATCCATCCATTATCAGACAGCTTATCATAAAGAGTGAATTTAGAACAGGGAGGCAATGCATTAATAATTGGCTTCATATCCTTTGTCAGTTTAGGGGGAGGGCCCTTCTGCTGCTATTTTGTGACATGAATTATGGGCACTCTGTTGTTGTTCAGTCCACTAAGTCGGGTCCAACTCTGTGCAAACCCTTGGACTCTAGCACACCAGGCTTCCCTGTCCTTCACGCTCTCTCAGAGTTTGCTCAAATTCATGTCCAGAATGAAAAGACATCTTACAGAATGGGAGGAAATATTAAAAAAGAACTGCCATATGACCCAGCAATACCACTTCTAGGCATACACACCGAGGGAAACCAAATCTGAAAGAGACACGTGCGCCCCAATGTTCATTGCAGCACTGTTCATAATAGCCAGGACATGGAAGCAACCTAGATGCCCATCAGCAGACGAATGGATAAGGAAGCTGTGGTACATATACACCATGGAATATTACTCAGCCATTAAAAAGAATTCATTTGAATCAGTTCTAATGAGATGAATGAAACTGGAGCCCATTATACAGAGTGAAGGAAGCCAGAAAGATGAAGACCATTACAGCATACTAACACATATATATGGAATTTAGAAAGATGGTAATGATAACCCTATATGCAAAACAGAAAAAGAGACACAGATGTACAGAACAGACTTTTGGACTCTGTGGGAGAGGGCGAGGGTGGGATGTTTCGAGAGAACAGCATCGAAACATGTATATTATCTATAGTGAAACAGATCGCCAGCCCAGGTTGGATGCATGAGACAATTGCTCGGGCCTGGTGCACTGGGAAGACCCAGAGGGATCGGGTGGAGAGGGAGGTGGGAGGGGGGTTCGGGATGGGGAATACATGTAAATCCCTGGCTGATTCATGTCAATGTATGACAAAACCCACTACAGTATTGTAAAGTAATTAGCCTCCAACTAATAAAAATAAATGAAAAAAATAACAATAAAAATGATGTGACTGACAAGGGATTAATATCTACAATATACAGAGCTCATCCAACTCCATATGAAAAAAAAATGAACAATGCAATCCAAACAATGGGCAGAAGACCTAAATAGACATTTTCCCTAAAGAGACATACAGAAGACCAACAGGCACATGAAAAGATGGTTCACATCACTAATTATTAGAGAAATGCAAATCGGGATTACAACAAAGTGTCACCTCACACCAGTCAGAATAACCATCATCATCAAAAAAATCTACAAATAATAAGTGGTAGAGAGGGTGTGGAGGAAAGGGAACCCTGCTAAACTGTTGGTGGGAATGTACACTGTGCAGCCACTAAGGAGAACACTGCGAACGTACATTGTGCAGCCACTAAAAAGAACACTGTGTAGTGTTCTGACAAAGTTAAATACTATGTAGTAGCCTGACAAAGTTAAAAATAGAATTATCATGTAACCCAACAATCCCACTCGTGGGCATGTATCTGGAAAAGACTAAAATTCTAATTTGAAAAGGTGCATGCACCCCAATGTTCATAGCAGCACTATTTATGATAGCCAAGTTATGGAAGCAACTTAAATGTTCATCAACAGGTAAATGGATAAAGAAGACATGGCATGTATAAATACATATGAATATACACAAATATATAGATAAAGAAATATTCCTTACCATATAAAAGAATGAAATAATGCCATTTGCAGCAAAATGGATGGACCTAGAACTCATCATACTAAATGAAGTACTACAAGTCAGAGAAAGACAAATATCACATGATATCACATATAGTGGAATCTTAAAAAATGACATGAATGAACTTATTTACAAGACAGAAATAGACTCACAGACTTTGTCAACAAACATATGGTTACCAAAGGGGAAAGGAGGGGAAAGGGAAAATTTAGGTGTTTGGAATTAACAGATACACACTACTGTATATAAAACAAATAAGCCAAAAGAACCTACTGTATAGTACAGGAAACTTGTATTCAATACCATGTAATAGTCTATACTAGGAAAGAATCTGAAAAAGTATATATGTGTGTGTGTGTATATACACATATATAATTATATATATATAGTTATATACAGAGTGATTTATATGTATGTGTGTATGCACACATATAAAACTAAATCACTTTGCTGTACACCTGAAAATGACACAGTACTGCAAATCAACTACAGTTTAATGAACAAAGAAGATATGGTATATTCTGAAAACAGTCTTGAGAAAGAACCCTGCTGGAGGAATCATCCTCTTTGGCTTCAGGCTATACTCCAACGCTATAGTAAGCAAAAGAGTATGGTACTAGCACAAAACTAGTCATATCCATCAATGAAACAGAATAGAGAGCTCAGAAATAAATCCACACACTTACGGTCAATTAATATATGACAAAGGATGCAAGAAGACACAATGGAGAAAAGTCTCTTCAACAAATGGTGCTGGGAAAACGGGAGAGCTACACGTAAAAGAGTCAAATTAGAACATTCTCTCATACCATATCCAAAAATAAACTCCAAGTGGATTAAAGATCCAAATGAAGACTGAATACTATTAACACTCCTAGAGGAATATATAGGCAGAACCCTCTGACATAAATCACAATAATGCTTTGGATCCCTCTCCTAAAGCAAAGGAAACTAGAGCAAAAATTAAACCAGTGGGGCCTTATTTAACTTAAAAGCTTTTGCACAACAAAGGAAACCATAAACAACAACAAAACCTACTGAATGGAAGAAGATATGTGCAATTGACACAGCCAATAAAGGGTTAATACCCAACATATATAAACAGCTCAAGTGACTTAACATCAAAACAAACAAACAAAAGTGCTCTGATTTAAGAATGGGAAGAAGAACTGAACAGACATTTTTCCAAAGAGGGAATGCAGATGACCAACAGGCACACGTAAAGATGCTCGGCATCGTTAACCATCAGGGAAACTCAAATCAAACCCACAATGAGGTATTACCTCACCTGTGAGAATGGCGATCATCGAAAAGAACAGAAATAACAAATGTTGGCAAGGATGTGGCAAAAAGGTGAGCCAGGCTGGCGGTCGGGGCGTGGCCAGGGTGAGGACGCTGTTCTCCAAGCAAGACAGCAAGTTTTGGGTGTGAATGGTGACTGTGCCCATGAAGGCCTCTGGCAGGGCCCAGGCCTGGGGCGGGGACAGCCGACAGGCAGCTGGGGCCCAGCGCAGGGCGGCCCTCGGGGTTCGCGCCGCTTTCGACCCCAGGAGCCTTGGGCCCATCGCGGCCTCCCCCACTCCACACGGGCCCTGCGCAAAGACCAGCGCCCTCGTTATCTACGTCTCCACCCACCAGGTCCAGCAGCACCAGAAAGTAGTCACCACCGCCGCCGCCGCCGCCGCCGCCGCCGCCGCCATCTTGTCGGATGCCGCGAGCCAAGAGCAGCCTGGGATATTCCCATCTCTGCGTCCGTGAAGCTCCACTGGAACCAGAGCCGCGGAGGAGGCGCAACCCCGCCCCCTGCCGCGGGCCCCAACACATTCCTGAAAGGGGAAAAAAACAAAATGTGCACTGCGCGGAAACTGGCCCTATCAGGTATTAATACGTGTTTAACGCCACCTTGATTTAAATATTCTGGTACTGGGTCTCCAGAACTGAATAGAACTCCCAGGGGAAGAGGCTCGCATACATAAATAAGTTCCACTGTTATTATTAGTGGGAAATCAAGGAGGTCTTCTGAGATACAGGGGAAGCGGCAGTTCACTTCAGTAAAAAGTGCTGGAGTGAATACCTTAGGTATCTATCTACATAAATCGATACCACACGGTATAAACAAACACACCCCAGGCCTTCCCAGTGCTGAGCATGGCAGTTAGCACTTACCGTGTGTTCAACATTGTGTATTGGATGGATGGCTGGATTGATAGGTGACAAAATTCCCGAGAGGATACACAGTGGAAAATGATGCCTTTTTAAAAATTTTCCTTCCACATTCAGAACTGTCTTGAGCAATGTCCTCAGGACCATAGTTCAATTTTTCATCCTGCTGGTGCAGAGTAAGAGGTGAGGTCAAAACAGGGTAGCACTGTTGAGCCGAGAAATGCAAGGCCTAAAGGATGAAGCAATTTATATTGAAATCTGGAAAACCCAACCTACTCCTGGGTTCTCCCCATAAGGTGCACAACCTAAACCAACTCTCTGCTCTTCTAGCATTGGGTACACCGTGGTAAATTTCATGTCCAGTCTCACAGCATGATGAGGACATCGTTCAGGTTACTCTAGATCCTCCAGTATGTGGAGGTCTCTGGACAACAGCATTGGTGAAATGTGACAGGGTTAAACCCTAAGTTACTATACTGGACTCTCCTGAGAAAAAGGCACAGATGCCTTTTGCCTGCCCAGTAGCCTCCGTGTGCCTGCTTGCGTTTAAGTGTGGTGGCCTAGTCTCACTGTAATGGATTTGGTCTGTGATGCCTAATAATCTTATTAATGTTGATGATGATCTTCCAATTTGTCTGTCATCGGTGAGTTGGGAATCGATATAAATACAGGGTGAATTATCTGGGAAGAGAAAGGTTTCAAGTGATGACTAGATTGTGGGATAGCTATAGTTTAAGTGGGCTTCCTTGGTGGCTCAGTGGTAAAGAATCCACCTGCCAATGCAGGAGACACAGGTCCATCCCTAGGTCGAGAAGATCCCCTGGAGAAGGAAATGGCAACCCACTCCAGAAATCCCACGGACAGAGGAGCCCGGCCAGCTACAGTCCATGGGGTCGCAAAGGAGCCGGACAGGTCTTAGTGACTAAACGACAGTTTAAATAATCCCTTCTTTCTCCTCTTTCAGTGATAATGGACACTTGCTAGTCTCTTGATTAAAAGATCAGGTTTTTCATCCATAACAGTTCAAACCTCATCAAAACTTCTACATCACATATTTTTTTCTATTACATTTTTTGGAGGAAGCATTTTTATTTTCAAATCTGAGGCATAGAGAAGTGCATAAAACATATATGTCAGGTTTAGATAATGCCAGGGATAAATAATGCCCTTATAAAAGCAAACACCTACGTAACCAGGACAAAGGTCAAGAAACAGACCATTGCCAGCCTTCCAGAATACAGCCACTGGTATTACTCCCAATCACAACCCACTCCCTCCCCTATGGATCTTACTTTATGATAATCAGTTCAGTGCTTTTCTAAAAAACATGACCTTACAACTTTTGTATGCATTCCTAAGCAATACAGTTTATTTGAAGTTGTATCAGAGGAATCATACGGCATGCTCCCTTTTATGGCCTGCTTCTTTCACTCTATCATATTTATTTGAGAGATTCGTCCATCTTGCTCCTAGTAGCCTTAGATCTTTTGTCTCCATCACTGACTAGCATTCCAATGCATGATTTTAGGAAAAGTAATTTTGACACGATTGTACCGTTCTACACTGTGTGAACACTGGGATGCTTTTAGCTATATTTTTTTCTAACAATGCCATTCGCTTTTTCTTATGAACAATGGTGCAATGAACTTTCTTGGGCACTTTTCACAGGACTCATGTTTAAAAGTCTTTTGGGTATACATGCAAGAACAGAATCACTGGCCCATAGTTATACATATCTTCAGCTTTTCTGCATGGTGACAAATTGTTTTCTGTAGCAGTTGTAACAACATGTAATCCAAGCATCACCACAGAGAGTTTCTCTGCCTGCACATCTTCATCTACACCAAGTGTTGCCAAAATCTAATTTACTTGTTTATCACTGCTATTAAGTTTTTGCACATTCTCACCTTTATGAACCTTTTGGACATTCTCTCTTATGAAAAGCCTGTTCATGTACAACTCTTTCGCCATTTTTCTATCCTATTTTCCATCTTGTTCTTACTGATCCAGTGAGTTATTTATGTGTTTTCAATACCAGTTATAGGTGTGGCTAAAATAATCTTTCGTTTTGTTGTTTGTATTTTCTCTTTTGTGCTGTGCTTTGTGAACAGACTTTAATTAAGACATACTTAATTATATAACATACTTAATGATGACATAGTCAAAATTTATCATTCTTCTGCTTATGGCCAGTGCTTCTCTGTTTTAAGAAATCTGTCCCTGCCCTGGGGCCATGGAACTATCCGCTATCTTGTCTTCTGGAATATTTGTGGTTTTGCCTCTCACAGTTAGGTCATAATCCAGCTACAAGTGATGGTTGAGTAGGGTTTCTTTCTGCTTTTATATTTTATCCTATGAACAGCTACCTAAACTTTTATTGATTCTACCAATTTCAGTGAACCACTTATTGAAAAATCTGACCTTTTCCTATAGATTTGCAGTGCCACATGTGTCATAAATCAAACATCTACCTATGTATGGACTAGTTTGGGTACTCTCTATTAAGTGCCATGGCCCTATTTAACTGTCTATTTAAAATACCACATATCAGTATTCATCACTACAAGTCTAAAGTCAATTCTGATATTTGGATAAGGCCACTCAACTCTACCTTGTTCTTCAAGAATGTATAGGTTATTTTTGGCCTCTCTCGAATCCATTTCAATTTTCAATTCATCAGAAAAAGTTCAACCAAAATCCTTCCTAGGGTTCTAGTTAAGATTGCATTGCACTTTTGGATTTGACTTCTTGCCTATAATATAGAATGTTGTTGAATGGATAATGGTGTACCTTTCCTTTTAATAAAAACTTCCTTAATATGTCCCAATAATATTTCTTTTTTTCCCCACAAGAGAGCATTTTATCCTAGGCACTTCATATTGTGCAAATAGTGCCTTTGAAATTTTCATTTTGTAAATCTGTTGCTGGTAAATAGAATAAAATTGGCGTCTGTATGTTAATATTTTATCCTGTGAACAGCTACCTAAACTTCTATTGATTCTACCAATTTCTCTGTAAATACCTATAGAATTCAGTGTTCAAAATCGTATCTTCCGCAAACAATGCCAGTCTTGCTTCTTCCTTTCCGAGCACTTTGTTCCTTCTGTTCCCACCTACTATATTTTCTGGGTGATAGTGGACATTCTTACTTGATGCAGCTCTCACAAGGAAGCTTTCAGTAATTCCAAGAATGATATTTGCTGTAGGCCTTGTGTGCTGTAGCAATCTGGATCCAATCAGGAGATGGAAAGTACACAGTGGTCAGGGGAAATTTAACATAATGTTTAAACATAAAGAATGATTAAATATGGCACATGTAGAATATATAGGATTTAGGAAAACTGTATGGTATCCTGCATACCCAAAGGAAGCATACCCAAAGGAAGACAAACTTGGAATGGGGGTTCCTCCCCAAGCCTGGAGATCACACCTCATTGGAGAAGGTGTAGGAGGCTCTTCTGAAGGCAGAGAAGTTTGCTAATTTACCAGCGCCAGAGCCAGTGTGCAGAACCAGAGCTGGTCTACAGTTGAAGGGTAAGCAGGAAGGTACCCGCTGGAGCACATCAGTGTGGAAAGGCCACAGCTGGTGGCCAGCATGTGGATGTGTAGTAGGAACAGGGGACCTGGTGGAGTTGGAGGCCTGGAGCTGGCAATGTCCTATATGTAGGATCAGGTGGGCCTCGAGGTTGTGAGAGCTGCAGCCTTGGGATAAGTGCAGGAGATAAACCTAGTGGTGGGGGAATGAGTGCAATTAAGTAGGGGGAATCTGCGGGTAGGTGGCTTGGAGCACAAGATGTCCATGTGAAGAGGGCCACAGAAAGCCAATGACCAGACCACACTGGTTCTGTGCAGTCAACGAGGACAGTTGTTCTGGGCACCTGCTTGGAGCAGAACACCTAGGCTATCGTTACACTCACACTTCTGACAGCCAGAAGTCACAGGAGAGCTACTTCCTCCTTCAATGTCCATCCAGTGTCTTCTAACTGAGAAAATGGAACATCATCATCACTCTGAAGGAGAGATTCTTAAGGTAATCCATCCATTATCAGACAGCTTATCATAAAGAGTGAATTTAGAACAGGGAGGCAATGCATTAATAATTGGCTTCATATCCTTTGTCAGTTTAGGGGAGGCCCTTCTGCTGCTATTTTGTGACATGAATTATGGGCACTCTGTTGTTGTTCAGTCACTAAGTCGGGTCCAACTCTGTGCAAACCCTTGGACTCTAGCACACCAGGCTTCCCTGTCCTTCACGCTCTCTCAGAGTTTGCTCAAATTCATGTCCAGAATGAAAAGACATCTTACAGAATGGGAGGAAATATTAAAAAAGAACTGCCATATGACCCAGCAATACCACTTCTAGGCATACACACCGAGGAAACCAAATCTGAAAGAGACACGTGCGCCCCAATGTTCATTGCAGCACTGTTCATAATAGCCAGGACATGGAAGCAACCTAGATGCCCATCAGCAGACGAATGGATAAGGAAGCTGTGGTACATATACACCATGGAATATTACTCAGCCATTAAAAAGAATTCATTTGAATCAGTTCTAATGAGATGAATGAAACTGGAGCCCATTATACAGAGTGAAGGAAGCCAGAAAGATGAAGACCATTACAGCATACTAACACATATATATGGAATTTAGAAAGATGGTAATGATAACCCTATATGCAAAACAGAAAAAGAGACACAGATGTACAGAACAGACTTTTGGACTCTGTGGGAGAGGGCGAGGGTGGGATGTTTCGAGAGAACAGCATCGAAACATGTATATTATCTATAGTGAAACAGATCGCCAGCCCAGGTTGGATGCATGAGACAATTGCTCGGGCCTGGTGCACTGGGAAGACCCAGAGGGATCGGGTGGAGAGGGAGGTGGGAGGGGGGTTCGGGATGGGGAATACATGTAAATCCCTGGCTGATTCATGTCAATGTATGACAAAACCCACTACAGTATTGTAAAGTAATTAGCCTCCAACTAATAAAAATAAATGAAAAAAATAACAATAAAAATGATGTGACTGACAAGGGATTAATATCTACAATATACAGAGCTCATCCAACTCCATATGAAAAAAAAATGAACAATGCAATCCAAACAATGGGCAGAAGACCTAAATAGACATTTTCCCTAAAGAGACATACAGAAGACCAACAGGCACATGAAAAGATGGTTCACATCACTAATTATTAGAGAAATGCAAATCGGGATTACAACAAAGTGTCACCTCACACCAGTCAGAATAACCATCATCATCAAAAAAATCTACAAATAATAAGTGGTAGAGAGGGTGTGGAGGAAAGGGAACCCTGCTAAACTGTTGGTGGGAATGTACACTGTGCAGCCACTAAGGAGAACACTGCGAACGTACATTGTGCAGCCACTAAAAAGAACACTGTGTAGTGTTCTGACAAAGTTAAATACTATGTAGTAGCCTGACAAAGTTAAAAATAGAATTATCATGTAACCCAACAATCCCACTCGTGGGCATGTATCTGGAAAAGACTAAAATTCTAATTTGAAAAGGTGCATGCACCCCAATGTTCATAGCAGCACTATTTATGATAGCCAAGTTATGGAAGCAACTTAAATGTTCATCAACAGGTAAATGGATAAAGAAGACATGGCATGTATAAATACATATGAATATACACAAATATATAGATAAAGAAATATTCCTTACCATATAAAAGAATGAAATAATGCCATTTGCAGCAAAATGGATGGACCTAGAACTCATCATACTAAATGAAGTACTACAAGTCAGAGAAAGACAAATATCACATGATATCACATATAGTGGAATCTTAAAAAATGACATGAATGAACTTATTTACAAGACAGAAATAGACTCACAGACTTTGTCAACAAACATATGGTTACCAAAGGGGAAAGGAGGGGAAAGGGAAAATTTAGGTGTTTGGAATTAACAGATACACACTACTGTATATAAAACAAATAAGCCAAAAGAACCTACTGTATAGTACAGGAAACTTGTATTCAATACCATGTAATAGTCTATACTAGGAAAGAATCTGAAAAAGTATATATGTGTGTGTGTGTATATACACATATATAATTATATATATATAGTTATATACAGAGTGATTTATATGTATGTGTGTATGCACACATATAAAACTAAATCACTTTGCTGTACACCTGAAAATGACACAGTACTGCAAATCAACTACAGTTTAATGAACAAAGAAGATATGGTATATTCTGAAAACAGTCTTGAGAAAGAACCCTGCTGGAGGAATCATCCTCTTTGGCTTCAGGCTATACTCCAACGCTATAGTAAGCAAAAGAGTATGGTACTAGCACAAAACTAGTCATATCCATCAATGAAACAGAATAGAGAGCTCAGAAATAAATCCACACACTTACGGTCAATTAATATATGACAAAGGATGCAAGAAGACACAATGGAGAAAAGTCTCTTCAACAAATGGTGCTGGGAAAACGGGAGAGCTACACGTAAAAGAGTCAAATTAGAACATTCTCTCATACCATATCCAAAAATAAACTCCAAGTGGATTAAAGATCCAAATGAAGACTGAATACTATTAACACTCCTAGAGGAATATATAGGCAGAACCCTCTGACATAAATCACAATAATGCTTTGGATCCCTCTCCTAAAGCAAAGGAAACTAGAGCAAAAATTAAACCAGTGGGGCCTTATTTAACTTAAAAGCTTTTGCACAACAAAGGAAACCATAAACAACAACAAAACCTACTGAATGGAAGAAGATATGTGCAATTGACACAGCCAATAAAGGGTTAATACCCAACATATATAAACAGCTCAAGTGACTTAACATCAAAACAAACAAACAAAAGTGCTCTGATTTAAGAATGGGAAGAAGAACTGAACAGACATTTTTCCAAAGAGGGAATGCAGATGACCAACAGGCACACGTAAAGATGCTCGGCATCGTTAACCATCAGGGAAACTCAAATCAAACCCACAATGAGGTATTACCTCACCTGTGAGAATGGCGATCATCGAAAAGAACAGAAATAACAAATGTTGGCAAGGATGTGGCAAAAAGGTGAGCCAGGCTGGCGGTCGGGGCGTGGCCAGGGTGAGGACGCTGTTCTCCAAGCAAGACAGCAAGTTTTGGGTGTGAATGGTGACTGTGCCCATGAAGGCCTCTGGCAGGGCCCAGGCCTGGGGCGGGGACAGCCGACAGGCAGCTGGGGCCCAGCGCAGGGCGGCCCTCGGGGTTCGCGCCGCTTTCGACCCCAGGAGCCTTGGGCCCATCGCGGCCTCCCCCACTCCACACGGGCCCTGCGCAAAGACCAGCGCCCTCGTTATCTACGTCTCCACCCACCAGGTCCAGCAGCACCAGAAAGTAGTCACCACCGCCGCCGCCGCCGCCGCCGCCGCCGCCGCCATCTTGTCGGATGCCGCGAGCCAAGAGCAGCCTGGGATATTCCCATCTCTGCGTCCGTGAAGCTCCACTGGAACCAGAGCCGCGGAGGAGGCGCAACCCCGCCCCCTGCCGCGGGCCCCAACACATTCCTGAAAGGGGAAAAAAACAAAATGTGCACTGCGCGGAAACTGGCCCTATCAGGTATTAATACGTGTTTAACGCCACCTTGATTTAAATATTCTGGTACTGGGTCTCCAGAACTGAATAGAACTCCCAGGGGAAGAGGCTCGCATACATAAATAAGTTCCACTGTTATTATTAGTGGGAAATCAAGGAGGTCTTCTGAGATACAGGGGAAGCGGCAGTTCACTTCAGTAAAAAGTGCTGGAGTGAATACCTTAGGTATCTATCTACATAAATCGATACCACACGGTATAAACAAACACACCCCAGGCCTTCCCAGTGCTGAGCATGGCAGTTAGCACTTACCGTGTGTTCAACATTGTGTATTGGATGGATGGCTGGATTGATAGGTGACAAAATTCCCGAGAGGATACACAGTGGAAAATGATGCCTTTTTAAAAATTTTCCTTCCACATTCAGAACTGTCTTGAGCAATGTCCTCAGGACCATAGTTCAATTTTTCATCCTGCTGGTGCAGAGTAAGAGGTGAGGTCAAAACAGGGTAGCACTGTTGAGCCGAGAAATGCAAGGCCTAAAGGATGAAGCAATTTATATTGAAATCTGGAAAACCCAACCTACTCCTGGGTTCTCCCCATAAGGTGCACAACCTAAACCAACTCTCTGCTCTTCTAGCATTGGGTACACCGTGGTAAATTTCATGTCCAGTCTCACAGCATGATGAGGACATCGTTCAGGTTACTCTAGATCCTCCAGTATGTGGAGGTCTCTGGACAACAGCATTGGTGAAATGTGACAGGGTTAAACCCTAAGTTACTATACTGGACTCTCCTGAGAAAAAGGCACAGATGCCTTTTGCCTGCCCAGTAGCCTCCGTGTGCCTGCTTGCGTTTAAGTGTGGTGGCCTAGTCTCACTGTAATGGATTTGGTCTGTGATGCCTAATAATCTTATTAATGTTGATGATGATCTTCCAATTTGTCTGTCATCGGTGAGTTGGGAATCGATATAAATACAGGGTGAATTATCTGGGAAGAGAAAGGTTTCAAGTGATGACTAGATTGTGGGATAGCTATAGTTTAAGTGGGCTTCCTTGGTGGCTCAGTGGTAAAGAATCCACCTGCCAATGCAGGAGACACAGGTCCATCCCTAGGTCGAGAAGATCCCCTGGAGAAGGAAATGGCAACCCACTCCAGAAATCCCACGGACAGAGGAGCCCGGCCAGCTACAGTCCATGGGGTCGCAAAGGAGCCGGACAGGTCTTAGTGACTAAACGACAGTTTAAATAATCCCTTCTTTCTCCTCTTTCAGTGATAATGGACACTTGCTAGTCTCTTGATTAAAAGATCAGGTTTTTCATCCATAACAGTTCAAACCTCATCAAAACTTCTACATCACATATTTTTTTCTATTACATTTTTTGGAGGAAGCATTTTTATTTTCAAATCTGAGGCATAGAGAAGTGCATAAAACATATATGTCAGGTTTAGATAATGCCAGGGATAAATAATGCCCTTATAAAAGCAAACACCTACGTAACCAGGACAAAGGTCAAGAAACAGACCATTGCCAGCCTTCCAGAATACAGCCACTGGTATTACTCCCAATCACAACCCACTCCCTCCCCTATGGATCTTACTTTATGATAATCAGTTCAGTGCTTTTCTAAAAAACATGACCTTACAACTTTTGTATGCATTCCTAAGCAATACAGTTTATTTGAAGTTGTATCAGAGGAATCATACGGCATGCTCCCTTTTATGGCCTGCTTCTTTCACTCTATCATATTTATTTGAGAGATTCGTCCATCTTGCTCCTAGTAGCCTTAGATCTTTTGTCTCCATCACTGACTAGCATTCCAATGCATGATTTTAGGAAAAGTAATTTTGACACGATTGTACCGTTCTACACTGTGTGAACACTGGGATGCTTTTAGCTATATTTTTTTCTAACAATGCCATTCGCTTTTTCTTATGAACAATGGTGCAATGAACTTTCTTGGGCACTTTTCACAGGACTCATGTTTAAAAGTCTTTTGGGTATACATGCAAGAACAGAATCACTGGCCCATAGTTATACATATCTTCAGCTTTTCTGCATGGTGACAAATTGTTTTCTGTAGCAGTTGTAACAACATGTAATCCAAGCATCACCATAGAGAGTTTCTCTGCCTGCACATCTTCATCTACACCAAGTGTTGCCAAAATCTAATTTACTTGTTTATCACTGCTATTAAGTTTTTGCACATTCTCACCTTTATGAACCTTTTGGACATTCTCTCTTATGAAAAGCCTGTTCATGTACAACTCTTTCGCCATTTTTCTATCCTATTTTCCATCTTGTTCTTACTGATCCAGTGAGTTATTTATGTGTTTTCAATACCAGTTATAGGTGTGGCTAAAATAATCTTTCGTTTTGTTGTTTGTATTTTCTCTTTTGTGCTGTGCTTTGTGAACAGACTTTAATTAAGACATACTTAATTATATAACATACTTAATGATGACATAGTCAAAATTTATCATTCTTCTGCTTATGGCCAGTGCTTCTCTGTTTTAAGAAATCTGTCCCTGCCCTGGGGCCATGGAACTATCCGCTATCTTGTCTTCTGGAATATTTGTGGTTTTGCCTCTCACAGTTAGGTCATAATCCAGCTACAAGTGATGGTTGAGTAGGGTTTCTTTCTGCTTTTATATTTTATCCTATGAACAGCTACCTAAACTTTTATTGATTCTACCAATTTCAGTGAACCACTTATTGAAAAATCTGACCTTTTCCTATAGATTTGCAGTGCCACATGTGTCATAAATCAAACATCTACCTATGTATGGACTAGTTTGGGTACTCTCTATTAAGTGCCATGGCCCTATTTAACTGTCTATTTAAAATACCACATATCAGTATTCATCACTACAAGTCTAAAGTCAATTCTGATATTTGGATAAGGCCACTCAACTCTACCTTGTTCTTCAAGAATGTATAGGTTAGTTTTGGCCTCTCTCGAATCCATTTCAATTTTCAATTCATCAGAAAAAGTTCAACCAAAATCCTTCCTAGGGTTCTAGTTAAGATTGCATTGCACTTTTGGATTTGACTTCTTGCCTATAATATAGAATGTTGTTGAATGGATAATGGTGTACCTTTCCTTTTAATAAAAACTTCCTTAATATGTCCCAATAATATTTCTTTTTTTCCCCACAAGAGAGCATTTTATCCTAGGCACTTCATATTGTGCAAATAGTGCCTTTGAAATTTTCATTTTGTAAATCTGTTGCTGGTAAATAGAATAAAATTGGCGTCTGTATGTTAATATTTTATCCTGTGAACAGCTACCTAAACTTCTATTGATTCTACCAATTTCTCTGTAAATACCTATAGAATTCAGTGTTCAAAACCGTATCTTCCGCAAACAATGCCAGTCTTGCTTCTTCCTTTCCGAGCACTTTGTTCCTTCTGTTCCCACCTACTATATTTTCTGGGTGATAGTGGACATTCTTACTTGATGCAGCTCTCACAAGGAAGCTTTCAGTAATTCCAAGAATGATATTTGCTGTAGGCCTTGTGTGCTGTAGCAATCTGGATCCAATCAGGAGATGGAAAGTACACAGTGGTCAGGGGAAATTTAACATAATGTTTAAACATAAAGAATGATTAAATATGGCACATGTAGAATATATAGGATTTAGGAAAACTGTATGGTATCCTGCATACCCAAAGGAAGCATACCCAAAGGAAGACAAACTTGGAATGGGGGTTCCTCCCCAAGCCTGGAGATCACACCTCATTGGAGAAGGTGTAGGAGGCTCTTCTGAAGGCAGAGAAGTTTGCTAATTTACCAGCGCCAGAGCCAGTGTGCAGAACCAGAGCTGGTCTACAGTTGAAGGGTAAGCAGGAAGGTACCCGCTGGAGCACATCAGTGTGGAAAGGCCACAGCTGGTGGCCAGCATGTGGATGTGTAGTAGGAACAGGGGACCTGGTGGAGTTGGAGGCCTGGAGCTGGCAATGTCCTATATGTAGGATCAGGTGGGCCTCGAGGTTGTGAGAGCTGCAGCCTTGGGATAAGTGCAGGAGATAAACCTAGTGGTGGGGGAATGAGTGCAATTAAGTAGGGGGAATCTGCGGGTAGGTGGCTTGGAGCACAAGATGTCCATGTGAAGAGGGCCACAGAAAGCCAATGACCAGACCACACTGGTTCTGTGCAGTCAACGAGGACAGTTGTTCTGGGCACCTGCTTGGAGCAGAACACCTAGGCTATCGTTACACTCACACTTCTGACAGCCAGAAGTCACAGGAGAGCTACTTCCTCCTTCAATGTCCATCCAGTGTCTTCTAACTGAGAAAATGGAACATCATCATCACTCTGAAGGAGAGATTCTTAAGGTAATCCATCCATTATCAGACAGCTTATCATAAAGAGTGAATTTAGAACAGGGAGGCAATGCATTAATAATTGGCTTCATATCCTTTGTCAGTTTAGGGGAGGCCCTTCTGCTGCTATTTTGTGACATGAATTATGGGCACTCTGTTGTTGTTCAGTCACTAAGTCGGGTCCAACTCTGTGCAAACCCTTGGACTCTAGCACACCAGGCTTCCCTGTCCTTCACGCTCTCTCAGAGTTTGCTCAAATTCATGTCCAGAATGAAAAGACATCTTACAGAATGGGAGGAAATATTAAAAAAGAACTGCCATATGACCCAGCAATACCACTTCTAGGCATACACACCGAGGAAACCAAATCTGAAAGAGACTCCCCATAAGCCTGCAATTATTTCATTATATTAGTTTCACCACTAGAGTGTTGAATGTTTGAGGCAAAGGCTTTGGATTATCAGCCCCAGACACCAGCTAAGCATGTAACACACTTAAACAGTGAAAGAAATGAGGAATGAATGAGATGGATTTCGATTTTTGAGGAAATTAATAATATTAAATACTGACAAGTGTTATATGCTAAACAAATTATGTGGTGTAGAGAGAGTCTGGACCTTTCAATGACAAGGAAAGTACAATA